GTGAAGTGAAGTGAACACAGGTACAGTGAGGTATAAAGTGAAGTGAACACAGGTACAGTGAGGTATAAAGTGAAGTGAAGTGAACACAGGTACAGTTCGATGAAGTGAAGTGAACACAGGTAGTTAGATGAAGTGAAGTGAACACAGGTACAGTGAGGTATAAAGACGCAGCGTCGTCCTCACTTGAGCACAAACTTGGTGTTCTCGGTCTTCCCGGCTCCGGACTCCCCCGAGACGATGATGGACTGACTCATCTTCAGGACCTTCATGTCTCGGTACGCCTTGTCAGCTGCAGGCAGAAGCAGCAGTTAGATTACCACAATCGTTTAAACGCATATTAATCTTTCAGTCATTTAAATGAAGTCTGAGGGAAGACAGGAACAGCTGTGACGTTCAGAGGACCGTGGGAAGTCTGAGCGCTGACTGCCACCTGCTGGACGGGTGAGGAACTACAACAGGATGTTGTTAATGAATACAATTATTTACACTATTTTATTAAAAATGTTATATATTGTAGTGGTATGTACATAATTAATATTGTATTTTACATAGTCTCTCTTTTATTTATTTATAAGAACAATTGTAACGTACAAATTTCACCTCCGGGGATCACTAAAGTATTCTGATATACTGTCTATATATATATATATAAACCCAGTTCCTGAATAAGCGTACTAGAGTAAGCAGCAGAGGTTGTTGAGGTGTTGAGACTCACCGATGGCGTAGACGTGAGGCGGCAGCGTTCCCAGAGAACGACCTCGGTACTTGCTGATGGTCTCCGCAGAGTAAAGCTTTGGGAGGTCATAGTACGGGTTCACCGCTATCAGGATGTTAGCTACAAACGTCTGGAGGAGGAGGAGGAGGAGGAGGAGGAGGAGGAGGAGAAGGAGAAGAAGAAGAAGAAGAAGAAGAGAAGCAGGGAGAGGAAGAAGAAAAAAATAAAGAAAGGAAGAAGAAACAGAAGAAGGAAAAGGTGGAGGATAAGTAGGGGAAGAAGAAGAAAGAAGAGGGGAAAAAAGAACGGGAAAGAAGAAGAAGAGAGAATGAAGAGAAGAAGAAGGATGAGAAGAAGGAGAAGAGCAAACATCACTTAGGAACAGACGTTGAGGAGAAGAAGTGAACCACTAACAGCATCAAAGCTGCAGCCTCATCACTGAATGTTGACTCAGTGTTCTTCACTTTCCTACATTTCCCAGAAACCCCTGTTCAGTTCAACAGTGCTTCAGATTCCTGCTTTCAGCTCTTAAGGACAGAGAGCGATTGATTGATTCTTGTAGTTCATAAAGAGACTTTCAGCTTCAGTGTTATCAGCTGATCGATACGTCTGCAGCATTTAAATAACACAAGCTCTTAATAATCTCCTCCAATCTGAATAAATGGATAATAAATGGATTATTAATTGTTCTTCTCACATCAAACAAAAACAAAACATTCTAACTTATTATGTTATTTACCCAAATAAAATCGACATCACATCCTGACAATATGAATATATCAAACAATATAAATCGTCTTCTTAATCCCCGTGTTTCACAATATGAGATTATGTTATGTTTTAGAGCAGAATCCTGCACATGAATCACTGTGTTACTGTCTGATCTTTGAATATATTGAACTATCTGAATGAGACTCAATAAACTATGAATGAACCTTAAATATGAGAAAGATGGAGATTCAGTTCCCTCTTCAGCCACTAGAGGTCAGCGTGCACCGAGTCTGATCCACGTTCACATGTGTAAATAACTCACATAAATCTTGTCTTTGCTGTATCTCACACGGACGTTGTTGAGCAGAGTGGCTTCATTCAAGTACATCAAAGAACCTGAGACACACAGAAAGTACTCGTTCAACAACAAAGTCTTTATGAACACGTATGAAAGGAAAAGATTGAGTCGCATTTACAAACTGTAAAACATTGTGAGAGGATGATGCTAAGAACATATGATTTATTAAAACAGAAACATCTTCACACCATCGTGATGAAAACAAGACACAAAGTTTAACTTTAAGTGTAAAAACGTCTTCATGTAAAGTTCTGATGATAAACGTTTGAGTGAATAAAGACTAATAAACTTACAGTTGTCCTCCACATGTTTGTTGACGTCGTCCTCTGCAGGAAAGACCTGGTTCACTGCAGCCAGGAAGGTCTGCAGAGGAAGCAAGGACAGAGGAATGAAGGGAAGGAAAGGAGAGTTAATGGAAAGAAAGGAGAGTTAAGGCAAGGACAGAGGAATGAAGGGAAGGAAAGGA